CCAGGCTGGAGTGCAGTGGCATGCTCATGGCCACCACAGCCTCAACCTGCTGGGTTCAGACGGTCCCTCTGCCTCAACCTTCCAAGTAGCTGGAACTACAGGCATTTGCCACCACATCCAGCTAATTTTTTGATTTATTGTAGAGATGAGGTTTCACCAAGTTGCCCAGGCTGGTCTTGAACCTCTAGACTCAGGCATTCCTCTCGTCTCTGCCTCCCAAAGTGCTGGAAATACAGGTATGAGCTACTGCTCCCAGCACCATCTTAACCAGAAGTCAAGAATATGTCCATATGGTGCTTGGCACAGGGCCTGGCTCTAGGCAACTCCCCACCAGCACCCCATTTGGCTATTCTCTCCTTACTGTCTTCATTCTTGGCTTTAGGCAGGAGACGGTTCCATCCATGTCCGGCAAGATTCGCTCCCTGAGCCCTGGAGAGCAGACAGAGGATGAGCTAGAGGAAGAGTGTGAACCAGAAGAAATGTTGAAGACACCATCCAAAGAGAGCTTGGATCCAGGTAGGAAAGGGGTCTATATGAAGGGGCCTCCTATTTTGAACTATGTCAATGCAGGGACTCATTGCTGTGTTTTACCCACTACTTTGTTTTCAGGGCGTGGCATTTATTGAAACTCAATAATCATTTCAGTCAAGACTCTTTTAGTGTAATAGCAGCCAAATTCTCATTGTCTTGAGTTGGAAAGATAATTTTTTTAATGTAACTGAAAATTCAACAGGATTAGCTTCAGGCATGGCTGGATCCAGGTAGTCATGTGATGTTATAAAGGAGATAATTTTCTCTGTCTTTTAGCTCTGCTTTTCATGTTGGCTTTGCTCTCAGGCTGACTCTCCCTTTGTTAGGGGAAAAGATAGCCCCCAGCAGATATAGGTTTCTAGAACTCTATAGAGAAGAGAGTACCTCTTTCCTAACCGTTCAAGTAAAGTTTTGGGGTCACGATTCATGTTTCTGGTGTGACTCTTGTGCACATTTCTGACCCAGTCTCTGTGATTGTCCAGCCTGAGTCTTGTGATTTACTCCTGAGGACTGGGACTTTAGTCGGCTCCAATCAAACCACCTGCCCAATGGTAGGCGTCTCAGGGGTGTCCCAGGGAAAAACAAGGTGTTCTTAGCCAGAAGACACAGGGTCTGTTGTTCAGGCAAAAGGAAGAGTAGTCGCCTGGGCATGGTGGCTCAGCCTATAATCCTAGCACTTTGGGAGGCTGAAGCGAGGGGATTGCCTGAGCCCGGGGTTTCGAGACCAACCTGGGCACCTTGGTGAGATCTCACCTCTACAATAAATCACCAAAAAAAACCTAGCCAAGCGTGGTGGCGTACATCTGTAGTTCCAGCTACTTGAAAGGCTGAGGCGGAAGGATCGCTGGAGCCCAGCAGGTCGAGGCTGAGGTGGCCGGGAGCGGCCACTGCACTCCAGCCTGGGCAACAAGAGTGAGACTCCAACTCAAAAAAAAAAAAAAAAAAAAAAAGAAGAGTAGTCATTCTACATCTTTATAAAAGACTAGGCTCTATATAAATTTCTGCTCCTCTGCATAGGTCCTCATGGCTGCAAGATGTCTGCCTAAGTTCCAGGCATCAGAGACATGGTTGAGGAAGACAGACATTTAGGTGGGCATGGTGGCACGCACCTGTGGTTCTGGCTACTTGGAAGGCTGAGGCTGTGGTGGCCAGGAGCGTGTCACTGCACTCCTGCATGGGTGATAGAATGAGGTTCCGACTTGGTAAAAAAGACATTTTCTTCTGACATTCTTCTTTTTTTTTTTTTTTTGAGTCGGAGTCTCACTCTATCGCCCAGACTGGAGTGCAGTGGCCGCTCCCAGCCACTGCAGCCTCGACCTGCTGGGCTCTGGCGATCCTTCCACTCAGCCTTCTGAGTAGCTGGAACTACAGGCGCGTGCTACCACGCCCGGCTAATTTTTGATTTATTGTAGAGATGAGGTCTCGCCAAGTTGCCCAGGCGGGTCTCGAACCCGCGGCCTCAGGCAATCCACTCACTTCAGCCTCCCAAAGCGCGGGATTACAGGCTGAGCCACCAACCCCAGTTGACGTTCTTCTTTAGAGGAAGCTTTTTCAGCTGGTTGCAGTGGCTCACACCTGTAATCCCAACACTTTGGGAGGCAGAGACAAGAGGACTGCCTGAGCCCCCAGGGGTTCGAGATCAGCATGAACAAATTGATGAGACCTCTTCTCTGCAATAAATTAAAAAATTAACTGGGCACACTGGCACACACCCATAGTCCCAGCTACTTGAAAGGCTGAGGCGAAAAGATCACCTGAGCCCAGCAAGTCAGGGCTGCAATAGTCATGAGCATGCCACCACACTCCAGCCTGGGCGACAGCGTGGGACTCTGACTCAAAAAGTAATAATAGTAATTAGAAGAAGCTCTTTCCCACAAGCCCCTGACAGGCTACCCTGAGGTCCCAATGGCTATGAAGCTTACAGCTACAAGATAGGCTGGAAATAGTGACTAGTGTTGGGTGCTTTTAGGGTAGACAGTGGGCTCTCCCAACAAGGGAAAAGCAGGCAGGAACCAACCAGTAGGCACCAACAGTGTGAGAATCCAACCTTGGAAAAATCCAACATCACAGAGTAAGTGAGTTTTCCTTGTTGCCATCCTATACCCAATGTATTGTCCTCTCTGGTTGGCAACTTTTATTAATTTGGAATTCTTTTTTTTTTTGAGTCAGAGTCTCACTCTGTCGCCCAAACTGGAGTGCAGTGGCACGCTCCCAGCCACCGCAGCCTCGACCTGCTGGGCTCCAGCGATCCTTCTGCCTCAGCCTTCCAAGTAGCTGGAACTATAAGCATGCGCTATCATACCTGGCTAATTTTTTGTTTATTGTAGAGATGAGGTCTCGCCAAGTTGCCCAGGCTGGTCTGAACCCGCGGGCTCAGGCAATCTACTTACCTCAGCCTCCCAAAGTGCTGGGATTAAAGGCTGAGCCACCGAGCCAGGCCATTTCTTTTTTTTATTACTAAAATTTTTTTTGTTGAAACAGGTCTCACAATGTTACCCAGGCTGGTCCCAAACTTCTAGGCTCCCACCTTGGCATCCCAAAGTGCTGGGATTACAGGCGTGAGCCACCATTGTCTTTAAAATATTTTAAAAAGAGAAATCCAGCCAGGTGCCGTGGCTCAAGCCTGTAATTCCAGCACATTGGAAGGCCAAGGTGAGAGCATAGAAGTTTGGGACGAGCCTGGGTAACATTGTGAGACCTGTTTCAACAAAAAAAATTTTAGTAATAAAAAAAAGAAATGGCCCTGGGTCGGTGGCTCAGCCTTTAATCCCAGCACTTTGGGAGGCTGAGGTATGTAGATTGCCCTGAGCCCGCGGGTTCAGACGAGCCTGGGCAACTTGGCGAGACCTCATCTCTACAATAAACAAAAAATTG